CTAAAACTAGAACAACAAAACTGACATCTATGTAAATGTCTTTCCATAAACTTAGGCTTTCCTGAAGTGAAATAAAAGGGAAAATGAATTCAGACTGAGCATGTTCTCATTATAGGTCCACCTGATTGATTTTTCAGGCCCTGTGTGCCTTGATTCAGAAAGAAACTTGTTTTGTAAAATCCCAAAATGTAGAACTAGGATCTACAGATAGAATCTAATGGAAGATATATTTTATTTCAAATAAATAACTTTCTGACAGAGTTTTATGAAAATGGAATGAGCCATTTTAGGGTAGTAAATCACTGGTGCTATTCATGTAAACACTGAGACTGCAGCCGCTGCTGATGTAGGGTAAATTCCATCAGAAATAGATGGTGTTTGAAACAGACAATATTAAAGGTCATCCCTTCCAACTATTACATTTTACATTCTTTATGTGTACATGCTCATAAGGCTCAAAGCTTTTCTGAAGCTTTCAAGATGTATGGATCTTAATACTATAAATCCTGTGCATAACCCCACGTAATTGTGAATGATGCAAATTCTTTCTCTAACTCATTAAACATGATGCTATAGCAAAATATAAGAGAGTAAATATGAACAGGGGCAGGATATGTCTCTCAAATTCAATCCAATTCAGGAACTCAGTGAGTTCTATTAATTCCAACCTACGGTATACCTTAAGGCTTTGAGTAAAGATTATCAGCCATAATGAGAACATATGGACTCGAAAGAAGTGCCTACTTTGTATCCAGAATTCAAAGTCCACTAATGCATAAAGACCACAAGGTTAAATCTATTTCCAATCAATTATCAAAACAGAAACATAAAACTTACTCCATTTTCCATCAACTCCTAATTTAAAATCATAAAAAGATGGCTGTGAATTTAATAAATAAACGAAAGCCCATAAATCACTTTTATTACTATTTTAGAACTACTTTATATAATTCATTATCCTTTGCTTAGGATCTCAGTATGGCTTCTATTACTTATTTGGGTAATCTGACCCAAGCTTGGATGTTTTGAGAATTGAATTCTCAATTTCAGGAACAACTATCTCCTGCCTTTGAGAGCAGATTTCTGATCCATCATACCACCTTTGCGTATCAGAATACAGAATTCTTGTCTACTGCTTCTGTGTGGCCATTCAAGCTGGGCACTTGCTATTAATAGACATATTCCTAAAAGGGTGTCCAGAAACCAACAGTTGAGTGCTGGTTATAAAAAGACAAAAGATATTTCTTAGTAGAATCTTGATTATTTTACAAAAAAGATAAGGAGTGCTCTCAATAAGGGCAACCTGCTACAAAAGGAATATCTAGTACATAAGATACTGCATTTCTCAGATGAGATTAAAGGATATGTTTATAGCCCTGATGTGACATGAAAAATACCTTAAACTTGAAGTAGTAGTCATAGAAAGTAATCTTCTATTTTCTTTTCTTTGGTAGCAAAATGTTTTACTCTTTCATAATTAAGACTCCATTACCTATATACTGCTATGGAATATTTTAGGTGGAATATTTTTAGGTCTTACAGGGGTAATTTGCAGCATTGGATCTATTTGTCTGACTCAGGAATCTTTGTATAGTTCCCTTAAGTTCCAGCACTTTAAGGACTCAATGTCTATCCAAGCAGTATTGTGGTCCCCACAAAAGCAGTCAATAGAATGCACAGGCATCAACTGTGGATCTTAGAAGACCAAAGGAGGCTTTAACACTGAACTTGTGTGGCTTGCACAACAGTCAAGAAAAGTCAGCAAATGCCAAGCTGGTTTGCTTCATTGATGGAAGCTGCTGAAAAGGTCTTCCGTTTGGAAGCGTTTACCAGTTTTTCTGGTACAATAGCTACAGCTGTGGGTTTTCTGAGTGTGAACGGACATATGCAAGACATGAAATATCAGGGACAGGCACCATCTGCAACTGACTGTCTCATAGGCTGGGACTGCAATGTAGGAGTACCAAAGGACAGAATTTTTTCAGGGCCATACGCTAGCAAAATTTGGCTGACAATGATCTTAAAGACATCAATAAACAGGATTATAAGAGTGTGTCCTTTGCAACTAGTGTCTTCAGCACTTTCTGACCTAATCATTCAAAGTTTAAATGAACAGAACTAATGAATACTGCCTTGTTTCAGATGAGACATTCAAAGAGAAAAAAAAAACAAGAGACATTATGTCTATTTCTTTTGCCTAATTAACATCATGCCTCATCTGTATAATGTTTAGGTGAGATTTACAAGCAATAAAGAGATGGCTTACAAAAACCACATATAGGAAAGAGCCAATTCTTTATCCATAGATTCACCTCTAAGGTTCCTAATTATAAAGTTGTATAGAAGGAAGGAAAGAAGAATTTTTAAGAAGGTGCTATCAGACCGTCTCCAGGCAGAGATAGTCGATTGAAAAATCACATTTAAATTTCCTTTCTCCTGGAAGAAATTCTGTCA